TAACAATCGTCGAGTACACAGCCACCGGAGATATGATGCCGTGTTATTATATAAGAGAGCGAAGCACTAAAATTCATAATATATAACTATTAACTATGTATATATGGGTTGCTATTTTTCGGGTTAATGGTGRTGATAGCGATATTGTCACGTGCATTGTGTGTACGTATATGGAGACGATGAAAGCTCGATTTCTCGCGGTTGCTGTAAAAGATTCAAATGAAATGCTGGTGACAGCAGCAATGGCACAAGATATTAATATTATATCTAAGAACCTTTTGTTGATAATAATTGTTCTATCAACGAAACAAAGACCGACGATTGTTTTATACAAGTACGATTATTTTATAATGCGTTATTTTTATTATATTTTTATCAAACAGCTGACATTCCTATTTACATTGGCAATATATCATGGCTAAATATATATTATGTAAACATCAAACTYGTTCCTATATAATTTAAACACTCTTTTATGCTCAATAATATATCGGGGTAGGTATAATATAGGTATAAGCGAATACCCAAATTATATGTACCGATTATGTGTTTAAGAGAGTGTGACACTGTGATTCATTTTGTTGTACACAAATATCACAGACCGTTCTTCGAACAAAGTAATAAATKATGTATACTCGTTATTCAGAATGAACCATACATACATTGTAATCCCGACTTCAAACCATGTTTTTAATACATTTTATATACTACTCGTACATACTTAGTTTAGATAGATGAATAAATAAATTTGTAATGAATACATTTCTATATAATGTATATTCATTTTTTCTAACAACAAAACTTATTGTTCCCTTGAACGTTGGTTTTAGAGTAATTTCATTTTAATAACGTTTATTTGAATAGTTATATTTGCAGGATATTATAATATTATTGTGTTGAATTTTAATAATATAATTAATAATTATAATACATTATAATTAAACACAACGTAGATTAACCAATACAAATTTACTATAAGTAACAACGTATGAACTTTGATAATAGTGATTGTATGTTTTTCGGATTTTCAAGATTTCAATCAAGTATACTAATTCATTTTTTTTTTTTTTTTTTAATTAAGTAATTTCCAACAACGCGCRGTGTTGCATAACATACATTTTTAAAGTTATTCAATTATACAGTAAATTTTAACAAAATCGTTTCTAATATAATAAAAGTCAAGTGATTAAMTATGTTTCAATCCAACATTTAAAGCACTTAAAAGTATACACCTTGTCAGTATCAATTTTTATTACCTATAATGTAATCATAAAATTTGTCCATGAACATTTTATCGGGTTCCCTCGTTGAARGTCGTAGATAGTCAATTTTTTTATTATTAATACGTAGTGTGTAAAAGTACCTACTTTCTCTGAATTTTAAGGGATTTTTAATTTTAAGTGCCGTCAATTCCGTGTAAATTATGTTTAAAAATTTAAATTATAACATTTCCAAATGCAAATAAAAAAAAATTTAACGAAATTGAAATACCAGAGACACGTCAAGTCCTATTGCTGGATACGGTTGTGATTATCATATTTTTCTAACAATCAATATAAATATAGCTTTACTTAATAATTACAGTTAATTTAAATAAAATATATATATATATATATATATATATATTTTTAAATACTCTGATATTCTGATTTTAATTTTAGTTGCCTCAATTGGATGCATCTGGCCAAGATCCAGGAGGAAGAAGATTTCGAATTGAAAATGGTGACTCTCTCGGAGAAAAAGAAGAGGTAACTAAAAACTACATATTTATATAAATAATTATAATCAAATATTTATAATTTCCAAAACTTAAGTTGTTATTTCTAAGTAAGATGTATCAAGCTTTCATATGTAGCCATACGTGATATGTGTATGTATAAAAATGTTTTTTTAATTAAGTTTACGAAGTGCAACATGTTCCGGATGTATAAAGCTTTTTGTTATTGAAACTGCCACTACCTTAYGCATCGTGGACCAATCTGATTATATTATGTTTATAAATCAAAATATAAGCTAATGCAATATAACCATAAATGCCATGACCATTGTTCTATAATGAAGAAGATATGAATGATTYTCATAATCTTGTAGAGAACTTATGTTGTTATTAAAAAGTGCTTGTCTAAAATAATACAGTATAAGTGAATATTTTTACATTATTTTTAACTAAACAAATTTGTATTTTTTCGTAAGGTTACATTTTGTTTTACGAAAAAATATACAATTATATAGGTATTCCTGCAAGATAGTGGTAATATTGTGTTCTTTAGATACTAACAATTAATATATTAATTAATAAATTCGTGTCAATTACAAAAAAATATACAATAGTTTTCAATCAGTATTGAATTGTTCTGCATTAATTTCATCTCAAAATATATAATAACAACATTATATTACCTATATTAAAATAATTCCAAATTTTATTTTGRTAATCTCGGTCGATTGTTTATACAAGCAAGATAATATAGTATAATATATTTTGTATATAATAATTATACAATTATTGTATAAGGACATATCAATTATAATGTATAATAT